AAAAAAAAAAAAAAATACAATAATAATACATATGTATTATCAATTATGGGAAAATATTACGATCCCGTTACGGAATCATTCCGTCTGGATTTGTAACCGTTAGATCATCATGTAACCGTCGGGATAATTGATCTAACGGTTACGAACCCGACGGAAACCAAAAAAAAAAAACACCATATTTAAACTTTAGAACAAGGACCATTGCAAAAAATGTAGAGTGTGGGAGTTGTTGAACACTACTTTGTTTGGGAAAATTGTACTTAGAAAGAAATAGTAATAAACAAAAACAGCCAAGTGTGTGCTTCAAAATCTCAACACTAAACATGGCAAATGCAGAGGAAATTGACTGCACCATTGTTGTTGTTTCCTATATCTGGAACTCATCACACATTCATGTTTCTATTTTTGTGTCCCACTTATCGGCCCACCTATCTTCGGATTGACCCGTACAGAAACATCGTGTATCGTCTCATTGACGTGCGTACAGAAACATCGTGTCTCCATTAGAATTCAAAAATCTTTTCAGAGTGTCTTCCATTTTAAGCAGTCACTGCAAGTCCACCACTTGTATACTTTCCACACAAGAAGAGAGACCAAAATAAATTTTTGTTCATTTGTAGTTTAAAAGGTTTTACAACGATTGCATGGACCGAGTTTTTCGTGCTAATTAGTTTCTTTCGAGGGGTTCATCTTTCTTTTCATGGAGTGTCTAAAGAAGATTATTACAAGAAATAGGCTTCTTATGGAGTGGATATCTGTTGTTTTTCTCACATTCTTCTTCTCGGCGTGTTTTTACGCAACATGGAACGTTACCGGTCGCAACGCAGATAGTCGTCTTACCGGTCAGTCTTTCAACTTCTTCTTTCGTTGTGGTACATTATTTTTCTTTACCTAAATCTTGAATACGTGATCTAAAATCTCCTTCTAAATGCACATCGAAAATATTAGACCATCGGGAAAGTTTTCGACTTAGTTCATAAGAAGTAACGGGTTCGAATTTTGTAACTTTGAAACTCTTTTAAGTCTTGATGATGAAAAAATTTATTGAGACTGCTGTCTGAATGAGTTTATTTTTTCTTCATTTTCTTGAGTCATGTTAGAGGACTCTTAATTTAGATGTTAATTATAATTTTAATCTCAAAAAATTCAATATAACTATATAAGTACTTATTTTTTTCAGAGGTTCCATGTTCATGGACTATCAAGGCTGTTTACACTTGGTTTGAGGTATGAACTTCTAGTCCCTTTCACACTTTTCTCTTTAGTTAATTAATTTCACTTTTTAAATTATTTAAAATTTTAATTTCTGAAAATAAAAAATAATATTAATTGTGATGAACCAAAGTCCAGCCTCTTTTATGTTCAGCTCTGGCCCAGAGTTTGACAATATTTTTTGACCCTTTTGATTTTTGATGTCCATTGGTTCTAATTTAACTTATTTTATTTTTTCAAGTCGATGGCGAAGAATCTCGACACGAACAGGACATGGGAGACGACGGCCAATGGGGCACGATCGAGTGTGGGCGGTCCAAGAAGGCTACTGGGTGGGCCGGGATCATCACCGCCGAGGTGCAACTCGAAATGCGGGAGGTGCAAGCCGTGCAAAGCGGTCCATGTGCCGGTGCCACCCGGTAACCCGGTCACCGCTGAGTACTACCCTGAAGCTTGGAGGTGCAAGTGTGGGAACAAGCTGTACATGCCCTAATGCAAGATAAAATGTGGACCAGCAAGCATTACATAATAGTGATTGAGAGTATTGCTGTTTTTGCATACTTGTGAAACATTAATATCACTTTTGATGAGTAGGTTATTATAACTTCATTATGAGACGTATTTATTTTTATGTTGTTGTTATTATTAATATTTTAAATTATATGTACTAATGTTGGGGTACTGTTAAAAATATGTGCTGTCCAATTTTATTATTATTAATTTTTTTTTTTAATTTATGAATTATTTTTGTTGTGGATATTATGGGTTTAAGAGACAATTCACTGGGAGTACAGGCTGTTCGATTGTTTATATTAGCTGGGCTCAGCCCAAAAGACATTGTGTTTTGCGTTGGCACATGGTTACTGGAAGAAAATGGGCCACCATAAAAAAGTTAAAAAAAAAAAATGATAAATAAGTTCTTAGGATGATTTTTTTTTTTTACTTTTTAATTTTGCTAAAAATATCTGAGGATGATTTGGTGCCCCACCTCTTTTTTTTTTTTTTTTTTTTCAATCTACTATTATTTTTATTCATACCATATTTTTATAACTTATGAATACGTAATCATGTGGGACAAAATTCAATGAAACGAGGATAACTTATGCGGATCAAAATGGGCCCATAAAACTTTAGGGTAAATTGCACCAAACCCCCATTGTGTTATACGAAATGTGCCCGTTATTACCCTGCGTTTTAAAAACTGCACCAGACCCCCTTATGTTTAAGTACGAGTTGCACGCTTCCCCCATACCGTCCAATATAACGGCGCGTGAAAGATACTTTCTCCAGATACGAATATTATTCAATTTTTTTATTTTAAAGAATTAATAATTTACATTTATGCCCTCTTGAATGTTGCAAAATCTAAAATGTATAAATGTAGGTACCAAGATTCGAACCTGAGTGGGAGGAAAAGGCACACACACTCAACCACACCACTGGGCTACATGAATGGATGTAAAATTCATTGAACATAAATATATTTATACATCATACGTAAATGAATTAAATATTTTAGAATAAATAAAATAAAATAACAGTATAATAGGCCAATTAGCAATAAATTAAATAATTAATACTAATAATAACTTCCAAAATTAAATTAACATAAAATAATAAAAAATTAAATTAAAATAAAGTAAGACAAAATATAATATAATAGCGTGAAATTAAAATTTAATAAATTTACATTTTAGTTATCAAAATAAATTAAATAAATAAATTTTAAATGAAAATCTAATACAAAAATTGAATTAAAAAATAAATAAAATTAAAATAAACTAATTAAAGTAATATAAAAATAATAATTATAAAATAAATAAATTAAAACAATGATAAAGTAAAATAAATAATAAATAAAGTAACCTATTATGAAATAATAAATTAAGTAAATATAAATATTAAATTCATATAAGAAAATAAAAAATATT